CTCCCTCCATTTTAGCTTTGGTACAAAGAAGCAAAACAACAAAAAAAATTCTAAAACACATGTCGAGCAACCTGTTCTCAGTTCTCAGTTTCCCCCAAGAAAAATAATGGTAGAATCCTAAATGATGAAAAGGCTTTTGATGTTTAAGTCTGAGTTACACATTGTAACACTGTATACCTGAAGGACTTATTTAAAAATCATAATGAACTAGAGCATCACAACTTAGCCCAAATCGGACATCACGATCAACTAGGCATAGCTATTTCCAAACCCTTCAGACAAATGGCCTCTGTGGTGCACCCAACCTGCAAACTTAGGTTTTAATGCCTGGCCTGGGACAGTGGTGTGGTTAAGCAACTCTTGTTTTCCTTTTTGTTAGAAGGGTTTTTCCCACTGGCTTTCTAAGCAATACACGTCACTTGAACTATACTGGAAGCCATTTAAAATATCACACAAATTCTGATGTAGTAGAGAGGAGACAAGTATGTCCCCCAAATTCTCTGGCTGTCTAAATTGTGACCTATTATCAACCTAAAAATGTCACATCTCCATTTGCATCCTCTCACAATAGAGGTGTAAAGGCTGCTAACCCCCAGTCCCACACAACAAGATTCTCTGGATATCCAGATGGGTTCTGCTCATCTCACAGCTTTTGGCTCCAGAAGGCAACCTCGGTTACAACAAAAAAGAAAAAAACCCAACCAACCTAATCCCTTCTGGTCATTTCCAAGTCACCACTGAATCAAAGAGTAAAACACTAATTACTGAACTTACCCATCCTTACACACTTTAACCTCAAGACTAGGAGCTAACATTGCATTTAAATGTGCAAAGTTAACTGAGTTTTGCGAAAATTATTCTAGTCCTGTAAAAAACATACCAGTTCTTCAAACACTGGTTACCTCTCTAAAGTCAAAGCTTGTAAGGACATGAGGTACAGTTCAGGATACTGTGGGGTTCAACTCTGCTTCAAAGCTCTCTTATGACTGTTTTAGAAAATATACAGTAGTTCAGGATACAGTCTAAAAATGTGAAATTCAGAAGTTGTTAAAGAGACTAAATAATGCAATGATTTTGCACAAAATCAGCTTTCATCCTAAATGGTTGGAGGTGATAATTTAGCCAGTAGTGAAAGTTTTTAAGTAGTAAAAACCCAGAAGAGATAAGAACAGTATCTGAACACTGAACTCTTCCCTAGTTTTGGCCTAGGAGACAGTCCTAGGTGTATCTCAAGGCACATGAATGCATTAAACATATCTGCTACCTACTTTAATAGCTTTTAAAATAGCTATCAGTCAGTTCTGACACCAAAGAACTTGTCCGGACAACACGACAAACTGCCCACATTTTATTTTTAAAGACTAAGATTGCATTCAAATATAACACATAACGCCGGCAAGGAAGATATAGAAAAACAATCTAAATGTCATGCTGTTACACAACTTCTGCCACAGTAAATTCTTTGCTTTACATCATCAGCCCAAGTTTTTCAATTTTAGGGGGGAAGCTTGCAAAACGTTCATATATATATTTAAATAATTTTAATCCAGACACAATCTATGTACTCTAAAAGCCAGAGTCTATCACTAAGTTAATTCTTAACTCTAGAGCAAGTGAAAAAAAAATTAGTAGCATGAACAAACGACACTATCTAAAGTTATCTAATACATCAATTCTACCTTTTTTTTTTTAGCGTTTAAACGATCAGCCTAATCTTTAACAGGTATTTAATATCTAAAACCAGCCTACAAGCACCTGGAAGAAAGTACAACAGTCCTAATTTATACGCTCAAACACAGTGTGGAACCTGGTCAGCTAAAAATAATAATGAAACAACCGAGGAGGAGAAAAAAAAAAAGGAAAAAACCCGCAAGGCCTCTTCCCCTTCAGAGTGTAAGGGCATTTTTATGTTAAGCAATTACTCACCCTAGCAACCTCTGTGTGAGGTGCGCTCGTTAAGAGCGGCTGGACTTTGAGGCCGGGTCTGTCGCTGCGGCGCTCGGCCCCACCGCTGGCTCCCCGGGAGCTGCGGGGGCCCCCGGAGGGCTGGG